TCTGTGTTTACTTGGTTGGGTCTGAGCGGCTGTGGGACTGGCGGGTGACAAAGATTTGTCCTGACTGTGGGCAAAGCAGGAAAACCCTAGCTGTCGGTCTAGAGTCTGTGAGTTCCCACGAGCTCAGGTCAGCTGTTTCTATAGGTTTCCCCATCATGATGTTGACCTCCCCTCTTTAAATAATCCTTCTTCCCTCTCTTCAGTTGGACTCCTGGAGGTTGGCCCAGTGCTTGGCTGTGGATCTCTGCATCTGCTTCCATGATGAAGGTTCTATGACGACAATTAGGGTAATCACCAATCTGATTACAGGAGAAGGCCAGTTCAGGGACGCTCTCCACTATTGCTAGGTGTCTTGTGGATTCCTAGAAATTTCCCTAGCACTAGGTTTCTGCCTAACACCATAATGATTCTCTCTCTGTCAAGATATCTCTCTCCTTGCTCTCTGTTTCCGTCCCTCCTCCAACTCGACTACCCTGATCCCCCATGTTCCCATCCCCCATCCCCACTCCCTGTTTACCTAGAAGATTTCATCTATTTCCCCTTTCCAAGGAAATTCATGTATCCCTCTTAGGGCCCTCTTTGTTACCTAGTTTCTCTAGGGCTGTGGATTATACCCTGGTTATCCTTTGCTTTACATCTACTATCCACTTCTGAGTGAGTACATACTGTGTTTGTCTTTCTGGGTCTGGGTTACCTTACTCAGGATGGTTTCTTCTAGTTCCATCCATTTGCCTGCAGATTTCATGATGTCATTGTTTTTTTTTTTTTTTTTACCACTGAGGTCTCTCTTGAATGTACTGTTCACGTTGGCTTTGCGGGCTGTTCTTGCTTCTGCAACTGCATTTCCTCAGTTTCAGTTCCTCAGCGCAGGGCTGGAAACCTGCAATACTACAGGGAGTCCTGTTACAGAGTCTCCTGTCACAGAGTCTGTGACCCCTGGGAAAAGACCATAGACTCAATCCAATTACAATGAAGAGATTCATTGATTAGCTGCTGGCAGGATGAACAATCTCTGAGTCAAATTTGAGATTGCCGTGGAGCAGGGGTGTGGGAAAGGACTTCTAAAGGAGAAAACCACACAAAGACCTTCAATATCTGCACAAGCAAGCAAAAGCTGTTCTGTTCTGCCAAGTTAAGTGGTTAAGGCAACTTGAAACAATTGTTGGGTATCTGTGTAAGCAAGTTACAGAAACAAACAAACAAACAAACAAACAAACAAAAAGCAGTTAGCCATATCATAATAAGTAGATAGTCATGGCTGTACATTTCTGCATAGGGGGGTGGTCACTGAGTTCAGGGTTACTGGGAACTTATCTTCCGGGGACTGGAGTCAGAGACAAATGGCTGGTGGGTACCAAGATGGATGCCTACACAAGAGTTTCTTCAGCAGACAGTCCACGGCAACCCTCTCTGTTTAACATCCCACAGTAACGTCACTCACCATAGTAACGTCACTCACTTTGTCAGAACCACAGCGTGGGGTTCACCTGGATCTGTCTCCTCGTGTTTTCCCATCTAGTTCTTTCAGGTTAAAAGTTATTAATTGGACGCATTAATGCACATATGTACCAAACAACCCAGGGGCCAGATATTTGATTTCCCAGAATAACAATGTAAGGGACATTTGTTCGGAAGACATGTAATAAGACGGGCCACTGGATGTTCAAAACTCATATCAAGCTTGAATATTCCAGCTAAGTCAGAGTCTCCAAGCTTGATGTTTTGCTTTGACATTGACTGGTTTCAGATCCTGGTGCAGCACAGTGTGAGCAGCTTCCTCGGTGACCTTCTTTCGGGGCCAGTGTGAACTCAGTCATCACACCAGGAACACACTCCTCCTCATCTAGGTATTACCTGTCTTTGTTCCCTTTGTAATTAGACTATCAGGTCAATACCTTCACGGTGTTCTATTACATTGTACAGGGCTGTAGTGGTTTGGATGAAAGTATTCACCACAGGCTCAAGTATTGTAACACCTGGCCTTGGTTGGTGGCACTGCTTAAGGAGGTTATGGGGCTTTTAAGAGTGGGAGCCCGGCTGGAGGAAGTACACCACAGGAAGTGGGCTTTGACGTTCTGTAGCTTCACCTCACTTGCCGTTCATTCTCTTGGGTTCCCATATGTTGACAGAAATGTGATCAACCAGTTTCCGGCTCCAGCTGTCTGCTGCCATGCCTCCCCACCATCATGGAGTTCCCTCTGCAACCATAAGCCAAAACAGACTCTGCCTGTAAGTTGCTTTTGGTCATAGCATTTTAGCAGAGCAACAGAGAAGTAACTAATGCAAGGACTGTAAGGACTGTGTAGTTTCCATCGAGAATGCCATCACAGTAATGGGTGATGTTGGATGCTTCAGCTTATGGAGGAAATTTACCTCAGAAACAACTACGTTTCTCAGATTCCACCCTGGAGCCAGAGTCAATCAAGTTCTTTCCAAACCAGTGTCTTGACACTGATCTTTCTTTGGATCCTCTGGCGGTGGCCACTGGAGCCCTGCTAGTGCTGTGGAGATCCTCATAGTCCTCTTCATTGAGGTGACATGACAAGCCACCATGGCTGGACCATCACCACCCTACCATCCTCCAAACCATGCTGCCCCAGCCCCGGCTCAATTCACCCCTGGTAAAACCACTGAGCCCAGAGCCAGAGGGCAGGAATCTCCCAGTTCTGGAGGCTGGAACCCATGGCCTTGCACCTGCTCAGCCCACACTCTACTATTGAGCTGCACTCTCATCTCCCATGTTTTTATTGATAAGTCTATAACTTTACTTCAGGGCCTAATAATTATAGGGAAAGTGGTAAGTGCATATACCATTAGTACCCAGTTGGACACGAATCACATTCAAATTAAGTTTCTTCCAGAAAGTAGGCTGGGCATGTGCAGAGTTTAGTCATTAGAGGGCTTGTCTACCGGGAAGGCAAGCCTGGGATTAACCTGTAGTGCTGTATAAACTAGAAGTGGTACATTTCTGCAATCCCAGCGTTCAGGAGGTGGAGGCAGGAGGATCAGAAAGCCAAGGTCATTCTTGCTTACACAGGGAGTTTTGAGGCCAGCTTGTGCTAGAGGCCAAGTTGTCTTTTTGTTATCGTTATCTGTTTTTATAGTACTAGACTTGCCAGGAGCCCATGAGTTTCCCACCAGCAGCAAATTACCTGAGTGGTGGACCTTGACTGCTGGCGTCTGATAGACCTACGGCTTACAAGCTGTGTGACTTTGGGCTTTTAAGGCTCCATATCTGAGAAGATGAGATGAAATCCTTGCGGAAGAGCGGGTGATAGGCCAACCCCTTTTGCATAAATGGTTTAGAGTTCTTTCACAGACCTGGAGGGGGACTAGTGTGTACATCAGCTCCCTCTTGTGGTTGCAGAGCTAACTGCACATTGATGCCCGACGCCTTCAGATCCTAGCTTCTGGAGACCGGCCCCTTCATTACCTGCATTTATATCATTGTTCCTCTAAATGGTCTCTCTACTTTTCGAAGGAGAAAAGAGTTACAGGCAAAAATACATTTACACCGTCCTCTGTGTGTGTTTGTGAATGTATGTTCATGTATGTACAGGTGCATATGTGTTTATGTGAGTGTTCATGTGTGTGGCAACCACTGTCCCTCAGAGGCTATCCACACTGTTGTTTGAGAGAAAGTCTCTCATTGATGTAAAATTTGCCTAAAAAAAAAAAAAAGGTTAGGCTTGAGGGCCAGCAAATCCCAGAGATTCATCTCTGCCTCTTCAATGCTGGGACTACAAGTATGTGTGAGTATGTCAAGCTCTGTGTGTGTGTGTGTGTGTGTGTGTGTGTGTGTGTGTGTGTGTGAATGTGTGTGCATGTGTGCATATGTGTATGTTTGTGTGTTTATGTGTGTGCATGTATATGTGTGTGTATGTTCGTGTGCTTATGTGTGTGCATGTATATGTGTGTGTATGTGTGAATGTGTGTGCATGTGTGCATATGTGTATGTTCGTGTGCTTATGTGTGTGCATGTATATGTGTGTGTATGTGTGTGTATGTTTGTGTGCTTATATGTATGTGTGTATGTTTATGTATGTGTATTCTGGAGAACAAGCTTCAGTTTGTGCGAGGCAAGGCCAGTCTTGTCATCTTTTATCCTTACCTTGTTCTCATCTGTAAGATGTTCTTTATTTTCTTCCATACCTTCCACTTTGCTGCCCCCCTTTTCTTTCAGCCCGAAGAACTCCCTAGAGGGCATGCTTCTTAGTGTCCGGTCTCGGGTTATTTTGATCCTTTCTTTCTTTCTTTTTTTTTTTTTTTTTCTGGGAATACACCGACATCTATCCACTCACCCCAGACAGAGACGCTGCGGCTGGCCAAAGCAATAAGTTGAGAGGAGGCTGCTTGAAGCGTTTAGGCAGAAGTGGTTTAAGTTCGCCAGATGCGGCGGCGCACACCTTCCATCCCAACACTTGAGAGGCAGAGGCAGGGAATCTCTGTGAGATTGGGATCACACGGAGAGACCTAATCGAAAACAAAGGTCCTCCTACAGGTTTCATTGTGTGTGGTGCCGGGGTCAGAACAAGACCTCATGTTACCCGACACCCCACTGCTGAGCTGCACCTCAAGCCCCCTTTTCCCCCTTAAAGCACAGGTTCTCTGGATACTGACTTCTTGGCTGAGAGTCTTTCCTCTCAGAATTCACAATTTGGGTCTGTTAGTGAATGTCTCCTTTAGCTCGCCATACTTCTCAGCTCCAGGGGTTTGCAGGTTCTTTCTCATTGATTCCTGTTGTAGTACTGACACTCTCTGTTTGGAAGATATTGTTATGATAATTTTCTGTAGTTTTTTTCACAAACTGTAGTTTCTGTGGGGTTTGAATGAGAAAGGCCTCCACAGGCTTATATAATTAAATGATTGGGCCCCAGATAGTAGACCTGTTTGGGAAGGATTAGGAGGTGTGGCTTGTCGGAGGAGGTGTGTCACTGGGGGTGGGGCTGTGAGGTTTCGAAAGCCCATGCCAGGCCCAGTCTCTCTGATTCCTGAAAGTTCTGGATCAGTTGTGAACTCTCAGCTACTGCTCCAGGGCCATGCCTGCCTGCCTGCTGCTGTGCTTCCTGTCATGATGATCAAGGACTCACCCTCTGAAACTGTGAGCCAGCCCCCAATTGAAAGCTTCCTTTTGTAAGTTGCCTTAGTCATGATATTTAATCACAGCAATGGAACAATGATTAAAAGTTTCTTAGATGTTTATTGAACATATTTAAAATAGAAAAAAATTTAATTTACTTTGTGTAGTAAGTTCAACATCTGAGAGTCCTTGGGTACTTCTCAAATGTAGGAGCTATATTTTATTGTTCTTTTGTGTGTCTCATACATTTTATAAATAGAACAATTAATATTATATTTTACACCTGTAAATGTTTTGTCTGCATGCATGTATGTGCACTATATGCATGCAGTGCTCATGGAGTCCAGAAGAGGGCATCAGATTCCACGGAACTGGAGTTACAGATGGTTGTGAGCCACTATGTGGGTGCTGGGAACCAAACCTAGGTCCTTTACAAGAACAGTAAGGGCTCTTAACCCCCGAGCCATTTCTCCAGCCCCTGCTTCATGCCTCTGTGCCTCATACCTATGAATATAATACAACCACTTTGCAAATTGGATTGTTTCTCCCTTGCAGAGTTTTCTTATTGTTGTTGTAACTGGTTGTTTCAGGCATCTGTCTAAGACTGAACTAATTCTGTAAGCTTCTCTTCTTTGTGGCGTGTGGCTTCCCAGTTGTGCCGAGAGAGGAGATCCTTTGCATCCAGTGTTTTGACCCTTGGCTTGGCCAGGTTAAGAATGAGCCTTGGGCCTGGGACACTTCCATACTTTCATCCATAGTGGTGGAGATTCTGCTCCACGCTATTTGTTGCCTGCAGCAGCCTAAAGAGTTCCTTTCCCTTTGCAGGCTCTGCATCAGGTGAAACTGGATCCTTGGTTTCACCAGAGAAAAGGATTCCAGTAGAAGCTTGTGTAGGAGACCAGCCAGGTGACAGGCTCTCACATTTTACCCAGGGTACTCTTGAGGAGTGTGGGATAAGAGATTTAGATAGAAGGCTAGAGGAGAGAGAGACAGATGGAAACACAGGACAGCCTTGGGAGGACCTGGATCTTTATCCACTGACCCCTTCTGTCTCTTCTAAAGGGCTTTTTTTTTTAAAGGAATGCCAAGGAGTGGAGCAAAAGATGTCCCCCCCTCCCAGCATAGCCAAGTGCTTTCTAATCACCTAGTAACCATGTACATGGTCAAGCAATCCTCTAATGCAGCTCTGCTGGGTAAAGCAAGCTCAGATCTAGCTAGGAAATCTTTGTGGGCCTCCACAAGCTTGGATAGAGAAGAATTGGAGTTTGTTTAAAAGGAGATGCTTAGTATAGATTTACACACGTGTGTTATGAGAAGGAGAGGCATTCAGGAAAAGAGAGAGGCATTCTCAGGGTCTCTCAAAGTGGAGTCAGCCTTTGTCTTCTTTATAACTGTCATATATACAATTTTGGCGGTTTTTGAAAGTTTTGTATTTAAAGGGTTGCCAAGGAATTTAAATGAGGTAACAGAATGTTTCCTGAGGTGCAGCAGACAAGATTATGGTGAATGAATAACTCCTTATATCATAGGGATTGGAGAAGTTAATGTATCTCGTATCTTTATGTATACAAAAGTTCATAGTATTTTTTTTGTGTGTGTGTGTGTGTGTGTGTGTGAGAGAGAGAGAGAGAGAGAGAGAGAGAGAGAGAGAGAGAGAGAGAGAGAGAGATTCTCAGAAAATATCTTGGGGAGGAGCAAGGCTCTACCTGAGGTTGTGTACACCCAGGCCTTATTCATGGTTTATTAATATTCCAGCATTGTCACCTGAAAATATATTTCTAGAGAAAAGGCAGTTTGTCGCTATGCTATAGCAACCTACAGAGAAAATGTTATCTTAACTGGAGTTACTCTCCGCAGCTGAGAGTTTTTAACCAAACCCTAGAGTGAGGAGTAGCTTTTCCTTCCAGTGGCCCACAGCATCCCCATCTTTCTATCTTGACTCAGTCACCATGAGATAAAGAGGCCACGGCACCCGTGCCTCTGCTTTAGACTGTCCTTCTTCACGGTGCATCAGTGTATGCATTAACGGCTGCAGAGGTGCCCAGCTTCCAGACTTGCAGACTTCATGGAGGGGTGGGGGGTCGGGGATAGGAGTCTCTGTGGCCCAGCAGGGGTGTTCCTGGCTAGTTGCTGGCATCAGCTGCTGGTGTGGTCTCTGTCCTCCTCTCCCCTGTGTAAGTAAAGCATGTGTGACAGGTCATCCGACCTCTTGATTGGATGAGAAGCACCTATCTGATTAGTGAAGTGCATCTCTAAGACTCTACAAAGAGTATTCTAGAGACCACTAAGGGGGGAGGGGCCCCTGCCCTTAGTGTGGACAGCAGCATGCCACAGGCTGTGAGCCCTCACAGGTGATAGAGAGGGAAATCTGCTAGCACAGGCCTGCTCCCTCTCTGCTTCCTGATCATTAGGTCTGGCACATTAAGCATGGTTACCAAGGAAACGGGCCAGGGCATTGTCAAATGGTTTGTCATTGTTCCAAGATGGGGTTAGCAGTGGGGGGAGGGGGTGATAGGCTGACTGAGGTGCTGGCCATCCTTTGTCTTTACAGGGATAATGTGGTGAATGAATTCTCATCACATCCCAGGTGATGCGTAGAACACGCGGAGGGGCCTGTGCAGGGAACCCTCCCTGGTCTGGGTTGCTTGAGGCCCCCTAGGAAGACCTGTTTTCATGCATTGATGAAACTTACAGTCTAAATGAGAATGAGGCTTAAAATCAGGTCATTTTCTGAGGGAGAGATTTGACAGTGAAAGAGCAGATATGGAGAAAAGGCCAGAGAAGCCTCACACCACAGCCAGGTTGGCGCTTGTTTGATTGTAGATACAAATGTCTGAGGCTGAATGGTCATCTCAGGGATGGGGCCAAATGACTGGTGGCCTTGTTCCCCTGTTAAGATAGAAAAGGAGCCAGAGGAGGATGCAGACTTTCCTGTGGCTTTTACATATTGGTGCTTCCATGACAAGATTTTCTGGTCTCCTTAGGAGACAATGGGAACAGGTGACATCAGGTAATTTGAGGCTGATTTGCTGACCCAGGGTGTTTTTCTGCCTGTGATGCTTATGTGCACATGGGTGGGGCTTTTGGATGTTTTTGAGTGCTACTGACTACGGTTCCTATTGCTGAGTGGGTAACAGCTCTACACATTGGCTCTTCGTGGAATAGAATGCCATCAGCACCCGAGGGAATGTGCCTGCTCACAGTTAAGGATTTGAGCCAGAGGAGGCGGATGCGTGAACTACTGCCTGCCAGCCAAGCCCCCGTGGGTTAGTCAGCAAAAGCTACGCTGTGTAGCTGGAGGGAAATGAGATGCTTCCTTTCTTCATCCAGTGCTTACTGAGGCAGAATGTCACAAACAATCTTGTCACTATGGAGAGGCCATGTTAGTTCACAAGGCTTCCGGGACATGAAGGCTGGCAGTAAGCTACAGCAAACCAGATGCCTTTGACCCTGGGATAGCTGGTGCCATCCCTGTCACCGAGACAGTGGCACCCTCACTAGAGACTGACATGCTGTTATTGGCTTGGTTAGTGCCGTTTTCGCCATCTCCTTGTGAGATAGGGATGTAGATCCCTTACATGCCCACCTGCCACTGCCTGCGATGTGCTTCTGAAGGAAGACTTGCATCTCTGCAGCATGCCACACGTGGGTGCGGTTTGACCTTCAACAAGCCCAGGCACAGGAAAGTTCTAGTCATCTAGTCTATCGACGACCTTCTGAGAGTAGGGCACCCTGAAAAACCAGAACTGATACTGACCTCAGTCCTTAACTAAACTAAAATCCAGAGTCTTGAATAGCAGGTGCATTTCCCAGGGGGCACATGGACAGGGAGCCAAAAGCATATTCCCCCAAATGGTCAAATGATTTTTGTCCTTGGTAGTGCCCATTATATGGGCTCGGGCTGAAGAGATGGCTCAGCAGGAAATGATACTTGCCACCAAGCCTGATGATAGGACTGGGGTTTCTGGGAACTGAGGACGGCATGTACTCTATCTAGGTGCTTTTACTTTGGTCCCCTTAATCAAGGTGGCTAGCGAAGCCACTTGTTTTAAATGCCTTGGAAGACATTCAACAAGCCACAGCCCACATATGGCCTTTAAGACTTCTGGAGCTCCTGGCCCAGGGACACCACAGGTGTCCATATCCTTTGCCTATGCGGATTGGTTTTTATGGCAACAGGAAACTATTCCTGGGATGCACAGCTTCTAGGTTGTTGGACACATATGTTTTCTGAGATGATTTCCGTACACATATCTTCAAAGGGCAGCTCTTTGCTTGCTACTGGGTGCTGGAGAAGACCATATACCTTATAGTGATGCTGTGACTTGACCTGCCTTCACTTGAATGAAGCCCCATCAATACAAATGAACAGACTAAACAGAACTCCATTTCCCAATGGAATTGACACATACAAGAATGGCCCAGCCAGAATCTCCAGGGTCCGGGAGGCTCCACGATCAAATAGCCAGCTCACCAGGAGAGATTGAACAACCAGATGTGGTCCAAGATTCAAATATGGGCCGGGATACTGATAGTTCTGCAGAACTAAAGGCCCAGGGGGTGCATTGGATCCAGGCGGTCCTTAGCTTTCATATGCTCTGAATGAGTGAGTCAGTTCTGGTTCAGACTGACCTGCTGGGGCCTGGTGCAGGAGCTCAGCCCAGAGCAATGGCCTCTCATCATCTTATTTAACACACCCTTTGCTTAGTCTATACCACTTGCTCTCACAGGACTTTCAGGTTAGCCAGAGGCGAGAGCCAAGGCCCTCCTTGGGCTGCTTTGAACCTCAAAAACCCCAACACACACACACACACACACACACACACACACACACACACACACACACACACACACACACACACACACACACACGAGAGTGGCTTCCTGGAATCCCAAGAATGTGCTGACTATTTTCAGAGCCTACGTCCAATTCCCCAGGTTTTCCTTTGAAGATGATCACTGGTGTGTTGTTTGTCTTAAATGTTAACACCACCCCTGACTGTTTCTCAGCAAATTCATGTGAACAGTTGTACATTCCTAGTCTGTGAACTCTGCATCAGGTCACATGAAGGCAAACTGAAAAATGTGCAGGGACCCAGTGAGCAGGTCACACGTTGCCATCACTCTGGGAAAGAGGCCTTGGAGTTGCTCTAATCCCTCCCTGGCTCTGGTGTCCACTGGCTGCCTCTTTTTCTTTAGACCAAGACTGGGGGCTTTTGATTTTCTGATCACCCAGAGACCCTTTTCTTGCATCCAGTCTTTCAGTATTCTATACAATCTCAACTTTCCTCTTCCTTCCTTTTCTCACTTCCTCAAAATCAAGTTTTTCCCCTTGGAAAAAAAAAAAAAAAAAAAAAAAAGACAGCTCCTATTAGCCTGTACTGCTTTTCACAAGCAGTTAACCCTGGGACCACGGTGTCCTTCCTTCCTGCTGCTCTTTCCTTTGTCATTTCTGTCCTCCTGCTGCTGGAAGGACAGAAGAGAGACCAACAGGACAATGTCCTTTAGCTTTCCAGGCATCTTCTTCAGGGTCTCTCCAGCATCTTCACACAGAGTGGCCCCCATTCAGGCCCTCTCTTCCTGCTATGATCAGTTCACCTTTCCACATTCCTGGCTGCCTCCAACACCCAGCCCGAGATGTGGCCCGGAACCACATATGTCCTCACACACCCTCCTCTCATGCTCAGCTCTGGAGCCTAGCTACTATCGGTGGCTTCACTTCTTGTGTGGTAACCTGTGTGTGAACATCGATGCCTGAGTGCTCATCCACACCACCTAAGAACAGCAGGGTACCCACCCTAAACTCCATTCACCTGAACCCCAGCCCTCAGCTCTTCGAGACCACTCAGACTCAGGATGTGAGACTCTAGGGCACGGCCCTGACTTCCCAGATAGTGCTTTTTCTAGCTTCTAAAGTCTCAAGTAATGGTGAACAACACAAGACATTATTGCAGATGAAGAGCTATTTTATTTAGTGATGATCACAGGATTAATCATTCTTGATGGGAAAGGAGATCAAGTTCCTTGGGGAGAAGGTAAGCATATCATTTCCCAGGACATGGGCCCCCTTCTGTGAGCCATGGGAAGCTGGGCAAGAGGCAGCAGACTGAGAAGCAGCAATTCTCTGTTGGGAGGAGAATTCAATCAGGAGGGAGATGTGAAGTCAGTGACACTCAATGGTATTGTTCATCATCAAACTGGCCCTCTGAGGGATGGAGGCATTCTGAGACCCGAGGGTAAGATCTTAGCCATAAGGAGCTTGGCTCTTTGTACCTGTGTGGACTTGACTGTGGCGAGTCTGTATATGTTTGCATGTGTGTGTAAACATAGTGGTGTGAGACTGCATGCATTTGTATCACCTATGTATCTGGCTGGTGTGTGTGTGTGTGTGTGTGTGTGTGTGTGTGTGTGTGTGTGTGTGTCCATCCAGGATGATGCATGTTTCTTTTTGCAGTTGTGTTGACATGGCACCTGTGTCTCTCCACCTCTGTCAGCTTTTCTGTGGACCTTTGTGTATATTCCTGTGTATGTTCATGTGGAAGCTTGTCTCTCTCTGGATAGTGCTATAACTTGAATCTTAGATGTTCTCCCAAGGGCCCAGATGTTAAAGGTGTGGTCCCCACAGTGGTGATGCTGAGAGACAGTGGAACCAATGGGAGTGGGGTTTCTGGAGAGTGGGAGGTCTTTAGGTGACTGGGGCATGCCCTCAGAGGGAATTGTACCGCTTGCTGTCTCTTGGCTACTGAATGAATGAATGGCTTCTTCCATTATAATATGCTGCCTTATCATGGCCTCAAAGCAATGAAACAATTGGTCATGGACTGTGAGCCAGAAGAAACCCTTTTCTCTTTATAAGTTGATTATCTTAGGTCTTTCATTAGAGTGATGGAAAGCTGACTAATACTGATGACATTGTCCCTAAATTCCCTCTTCCTTCTAGAAGGATAATGGCCAGTCCTCAAACACTGAGGAATGTGGAAGAGTACGCACCAGCTCAACTAAAGGCAGATCCTCCCTTCCTGGGAGGCCTAGATCTTGATGACAAATTGTAGTCCATGGATCAGTAATTCTGGACAACAAAAACAACACAAAAGCCAGGTTAGAGTCATGATCTGGTGGGGAAGGAGTCCCGCAAGAGCTCTGGTCACCAGCCATGCTTACCACAGTCAGGCATGTGGGGAAGGCTGAGCCTCCTCCTCCAGACAGCCCAGCCCTTCTCAGGTCAGGCTGAGAGCAGGAGGCAGGTTTTACCTCAAACTCATCTGGATTCATGGGGACAAAGATACCCCCAAAGAGGGAGGGATGAGGTCACCGAGGCCTGGCTGTCCCCTGATGTGCCAGGACCAAACTCCTTGGGGGAAACTGATGCTTCCTTGGAGTGGGAGAAGACTTGGAAACAGCACTTACCAGCAATGTCGTGCACCAGGGTGACATCCAAATGGCTGAGAATCTCGTTGACCAGAGGACATACCTGACCCAGGCCAGAGAGGGGAGTTAGGCACAGGACCTCCTGCAAGGAGACCCTTAGAGAAGCAGCATGCCCAAGGTGGAATAGATTCAGAGATACTTTCTACAGCCCAGAAGAAGCCAACCAATGTGTTTGGAGGGGCAGAAAGAAGTAACACAGACAGCTGGACCACAGGACAGATGGACTGATAGATGGATATCTTATATGGAGTAGCTCAAGTTCACTCCAGGGCTCTCTTTCAGCCTGAGAAGCTCTAAGACCCATGGAACAGGGGACTGTCCTTTTGGTCCCTTACCTTGCCCTGCACCAGGTCAGGAAGGACTTTAGTCAATATCCCTGTGAGGTTGTCTAAAACGCTTTGAAGGGGAGTGACTCTGGAAGAGAAAGGCATGGGTGTGACCCAGAGGCTTGGGGTTGGTCTGGAGAAATTCAGCAGCCACTATGCACACTCAGTCTCGGCACCCAGTAACTGAGACCAGGCCTTGCACACTCATGTCCATGGCAGGTGAAATAGCAAGGATCCTAGATGAAGAGAGTTACACCCAGCCCAGCTGTGCACACACAGAGGAGTGTAGAATAAACACACATTTCAAGGACATAGTAGGTGCACAACAAGACTGTGGGATCCATGAATGTATGAACAAAACTTAGTAGGTAGTTGTCATGGGGACTTAATGAAATGATACACACAAATCCCAATATACATATTTAGCAAATGTGAACCATAGTGTGGACAGGTCCTATACACCACGAATGACTGGGCCTTCCCACATGACAGGCAACTGGAACAAGCAATCCAAATAAGTGCTGCATCTATTTACCTCTGGTGGATTCTGTCAATAACCTCAATGTAGTTTCATATTACAAATAAATGAGATGAGACAAAATTGGAGAAATACTAGTGAAGTTCACATCCCCTGTGACAGGTGGGGCTTAAATTCAAACTATTCATCGCCTAATCCATTGTAAATTGGTCATCTTATTATAAATATGATGACATAATAAACAGAATAATATTCTCTAACACCGTCGAGCTTACTTTTTGAACAACTCACAGTAATAAAATTTGTCTTTTTGTAATAACTAGATAAGATATTTTTAGATAGGCTATCTGTGAGGGTCCATGAAGCAGATAAAACAGACAAAAGTACTAATATCATTAAAGAAATCAAAATGTGTACACTGTTGCTTTTTCATAGCATTAAAACATTGGGCATTCTATCTAACAAGAGATAAGTGAACATTCACGTATTCATTTACTTGTCCATCTGTCCATGTCTGTGTATCTTCCCCTTCCCTCACCAAACACACATCCATCAATCTACCTACCCATCCTCCTCCTCACACACATCCTCCTTTCTATACTCTTACTCATCTGTCCACCCATTGTTCCGTAACTCCACACTGCTGTCTCTGGGTGCGAGAAGCTAGCTCGTTAGCCTCACCCATTGAGCAAGGTGATTTGCAGGCTGCCAGGGGAGTGGGTGCAGTCACCAAGGACCAGGTGGATCCTCCCCTGATTGTCTTTCACAGCCAAGACTTCTGCGGTGATGTTCAGCTTCACAGCCAGTTCCAAAATTCCAATTCCAACCAGGGGCCTGCCAGAAAAGAAGAAAACAATCCCACTGGTACCTGACCCTTCCCTGCATTTCAAGGTGGAGGGTTTCTTCTTGACAGGGGAGCCAGGCTCATCTTACCCTATCTTTTTCATGGTTGTTTTCATCTCCCAAGGAGGAGAAAGCAAGACTCAGAGAGGTCAAACTACATGGCTAAGTTTGCTCCACAAAAAGGCAAATGTGCTAAGCTTGGAGACCCAGGCATTTGCAGCTTCTCAGAGCCATCAAGCTCTCCCTTTGTGAGCCATCCCCTTTCTCACCCCCTGGAGACCTACTCACGTGTTCACTTTGAGTGTCAAGCCCAGAGGGATGGTGACGTAGAGACGATGGCCGTCAGGGCTCTGCACAAGGCCAAGTTCCAGCAGTTGGGCGTCAGTGATTTTTATGCTGTCCAGGGGCAACATTAGAGGGATGAAAATCAGTGCCTCAAGTTTGAAGCCTGGAAACGATGTCCACCCAAATTTACTCATCTCAGAGGGAGAGCTGGCCGCTCGAGATGAGGAAGACAGGGAGACAGTCTTCCAGTCCCATCCGTCTTCCCTAAGTTCTGCCTGAATGGAATCCTAACACACAAGGTCCTCCATCCATCTCAGGTCTAGGAGGTATTTGATGAAAGAGACTGTGCATGACAGCACGGAACCTTTTAAAGCAAGTGGATGGTTCTGTGGGTTGGGGGGAGATGGGTAATTGGTATGTAGAAGGGCAGATAGAAGAGCAAGTAGATGAAAGGAAGGAAAGATGGATGGATGGATAGGTGGACTCTCACAGAAGATACATGGGCAACTGGAATAAGGTCTGCACAGGACTCAGGGCAGAAATCCCTTGTTCTGTCACAACCTGCAGTAGCATATCAGTGCCTATCATAGGGCTTAAAGAGCAGAGGTTGGAAAGAATGGAAAATGGTGGGAGGGAGCCTTCCCTGAGCCATTCACGGTGCCAGGTATTTACCCTTCCCTGGTCTCTTCTCACAGACGGAGAAACCAAGCCCAGGAGACCAGGTGCCTGACCTCAGGTCATCCAGCACAGACAGTTCTTATGTCAATCAAACTGAAGTCTGTCTGGCTGTCTGCAGGTCAGGAAGCAAAGGCCTGGGAAGCTGGGAATCCTGGTAATAGTCCAGTCTTACTAAGGACTAGGGCTCGAGTATCTGGTCCCTGGCAACAAGCTCCCCATTGTGGCTTTGTGCCTAGGAAGCTCTCGGGTGGCTCATGGGAAGCTCCACATCAGGTCACATCACTTAGGTGATACGGTTGAGGACAGGCTAGTGACAGCTGACATTCCCCAGATGGGATGAGCACAGTGAGTGCAGTGGGTGGAAAAAGTCCCAGCTTGGGGCTTCTCTGAGTTAGATTCCTGCCTCTGCACCACCCTAGCTGTGTGAGCGCAGGCACATCTCTGTGCCTCAGTTTTTCCATCTGGGAGCTGGGGATTATGGAGCTGACATGGAAGGGTTGTCATGGGGATAATAGCTGCTGGGGGAGCCCAGGCTGTGCCTTAGGACCGAGGGCAACTCCAGGTCCAAAGGGCCACTGTTCCTGGTAGAGTGGAGAGAGGCCTGGGGACCGAGTCTTGGTTCCATGCTCAGCCCACCCCTCTCTCTCTGTAGGGCTGCTGCCTGGGGCTGGGAACCGAATGCCTCATTGGGTCAACTTACTCAAGGATACTGTTCAGGAGAGGGATTGATGAAGTCAGTTTTCCAAGCAGGCCCCCAACCAGGCCGTTAGAATTCCCGTTTCCAGACTTTATAATATCCAGGAGTGGAATATTTTCCAAAATGCCCAACAGTCCCCCAGACAGCAGGCCACCGCTGAGAGCTGCAAAAGAGAAAAGGGCCTCAGGGGTCACGTCGGCTGACCTCAGGTCGTCACAACCTCTTGGTCACTCATGCTTCCCTTCCTGGTGTTGGGAGGTTGTATACACTAGAGCACGCATGTGTAAACACAGACATGCATGCACATATACCCTGAAAGAGACTGTCATAGACTCACCGTCTGTGAAGCTTCCGGCAAGATGGCCTGTGGGATTTGAAGGCAGAACTGGGGTCACGGCCAAAGGCAGACCCTGGCCCAAGGGCAAGGGCAGACCCTGGCCCAGGGGCAAGGGCAGCCCTGCCAGCTGGGC